AAAAAAAAAGAGCAAGGCACATAACCCACCCGCTGCTATGGGACTTGTATTCCAACATGCGGCTAGAGGCTAGCGCACATGCCCCAGCCAATCCGATGAGCATTTCTGCTGGGCCCACCACCACCCATGTCCCAACTGTTTTCCCAAGACTGGCAGATGGGCCTCGTGGGAGTGCCACGTGAGACCCGCTGCAGTCTGTAGTATAAGAGTATATAGAGTCTACCTTCTTCCCCCCGAATGTGTACGGTCATTATAGCTGTATCTAAACTGAAGGATGACTCACATACAGCTATAAAGACCGTACGTCATATTCGGGGAAAGAAGGTAGACAAGGAAAAAAGACTAACTGAAGAGAAAGCAAGGGGGGGTTCAAACTCGTGTAGCTCAGGCAAAGTCACACCAGCACTACTTTCCTATTATGTATCTGAGTGCAACTACATCCAGAGACCTTGATGAACCTGACTGCAATCACTTCCCACGGCTTAGTAGAAAAAGTCCCCTGGTGTAGGCACACACCCTCCGTACGCCCCCCATTGCTACATATCACGGGTTCAACTTCTAATCGACGCTGAGCGTCCGAGCACCCTGCGCAGTTTAAAATTCTAATCGGCGCTGAGCCTCCGAGCACCCTGCGCGCCAAGTTTAATCGAACCACCAGAGCGTGCTTTCTTGTTTTCGATTTGGCTGCAGCCTCCAGCCAACCCTGCGCGCCAAGTTTAACCGAACCGCCACCACGCTTTCTTGTTTTCAATTTGGCTGCGGCCTCCAGCCAATGTGGTCCAGTAGCCCGAAGCCCAAATGCCGCAGCACGTTAACGGGGAAGTTAACCGGGAAGCACCGCGGCCAATGTATGTATGGGCCAAGTACTGGTGGTTCAAACAGTCCTACTAGGGCCATGTTTCCTTCCTAGCAAAGGAACAGCTGCCATGGGAGCCTTCCTGTAGAACACTGCCTGAAAGTCCATTGCCAAACAAAGGGGACACATTCTGGATAGCAGAGAGGATGGAAAACAATTTGGAGACTTGGGCGCACAATGAAGAAGGCATGATGATGGATGGAGGTAGGTATGACTGGCACCTCTCTCTCTCTCTCTCTCTCTCTCTCTCTCTCTCTCTCTCTCACACACACACACACACAGAGTGATAGTGCAAGTGAGAAAAGGGAAAGGAATACCAACTTCCGACAGAATCGACATAGAAGAGCTTGCAGCTGTGGAAACCAGTTCAAAGAATCGCATGCGTGCTGGTTTCTGATGACGTCGACAAATATACCGAATCTTATAGAAGCTTATAGACGAAGACGATACAAAGGAGTGCGAGCAATGCACATCATCTTAAACCAGCAAGAACGTTAGGAGGTCCAAGGGGAGGGGGGCGGGAAGGGGGGGGCAACAAGGGGGGATGGGAAGTCTAGCTGTGGAGGCTAACACCATTGTCCAGGCGCTTGTTTATCAATCATGACAACAAAACGGCAAACAGAAGAGAAGCTTATAAACGCCAGGCGGGGGCGGCGAGGGGGCATTTATAGGCTTGGAACCACCCAAGCTTTAGAAGGAGCAACCAGCGTGCACCATAAGAAAAAAAAACTTCAAAAAAAAGAAGAACAGCTAACAAGCACACAAGGGAATCATTCAACGAATGGTCGGCCGGAAATGGACGTCAACGATGCCAAGTAGCAAGAAGTAATATCACCAAAAAGTTCAAAACCAACATGGTCACAACGGTATCGCAAAAAAAAAAACAAATTGATGGTCAAGATGCGAAAAAATCCGCGATGAACACTTCAGAGAGCTGATTACCCGAAAGAATCTTGCGCACGAAAAGACGTGTACTCAGTTTCTCCGTAGCAATCCAAGGACGGATCGCCCACTTCCGCGACTGTTAGGTACAACAACCCCCAACCCCACCCCCCATACGCGAGAGGCATCACGACCAACTCGCAATTCTCAGCTCGGAGAGTGCTCGCTACGACTGCTGGCTTCCCCTTTGCTCCATATCTATCACAATCGTGCACGATAATACATAAAAAGAGTACTACTGAGCAAGGCTACAGATTGGTCTAACCTTGGATTGGTAGCGATAACCAACCACTACTCCCTAAAATACATCAACCACATCTCATTCCTCACTCACTCCTCTCCTCTCTCCTTCGATAGGTCGTGATACCACCGCAATTGTCAGAGGCCGTGGCCACCAATAACCTGCTCTCGTGGGACACGTCCCAGTTCCGGTCCCTGCCTCAGAACAGAGCTCGCGTCACACTTGGCTGCGGACTTGATTCCCCCGCAGATTAATTAATACCAGCGCAATCGTCAAAACCCGGTTTTGTCGGACGAGTCGCGACTCGGATTTTCATTGCTTCACGAAAGGGGTGCGCGTTCTCGGCACTCTGCTGGGGATCGCTCCCCTGATCCCAACTGATACCAGCACAGTCATCATCATCATCATCATCATCAGAGGAGGAGGAGGAGGAGGAGGAGGAGGAGGAGGAGGAGGCTCCCACCAACCCAATCTTGTGGGACGAGTTGCAAATCCGATCCACGCTTCAGAAAAAGACGTTCCCAGCGCTCTGCTGCTGGGGATTGATCCCGACTCCGTCGTTGGCGACGCTCGTCTGCGGCGGTACTCCGAACTCCTCTGCCGCAAACTTCAGCAGCACCGCTGTGAACGGCGCTTCCTCCGGGACGCTGACCACTTTGTACGGGAGCTTCGGATCTGATGTCAGAGTGACTTTGCAAGAAACCTTCGGTGATGCCCTCTTCGCCGCCATCCTTTCAAACAACTGTTCTCTGCTCTCTTCTAGCTATATTCTCCCTGCAAAACTGGCAAAGGCACCTTTGTCCTGTTTTCAAAACCACACAGCAACTCTATTCAACACACACAAAAAGGAGTGGAAAAAGAAAAGAAAAACAAGAAGAAAACATAACAGCGGTATATTGCAATACACAAAGCAGGACTCCACCTGAGAAAG